CCTTCATAACTTGCATTTATCCATTGTGTTAGACCTTTCCATCCTCAGACTTTCATAACTTACACTTTCCTATCTTCACATAGATAAACCCTAAAATACCTGTTCCTGGAATCGGTTTTGCTTTAAGCTAGCAAGACTAACAGTCGTCAAAAGCATCAGAGTTCTTGAGAAGGATAAGATTTTACCTGAATCAATGATTAAAGAATAACAGAGACTTGCCAGCAGGCTGCATGGACATCCATCTCCAGGATCCTCCATCCATAGTAGCGGGCTGCAGGACCCCTGCCTTCTTGCTTATAGCATGTGTCCTGTGGATTACAGACTATAGGAAGACTCACCTACCGTTGGTCTAAGTAACGTGGGGAAAGTCGACTCCACTGTCATCTTGTCCATGGTCTGGAGTACCTTGTAGCAATTGAGGTGAAGGGCAGGGTTGCTCAGTGACTAGGGTTGTCACTGACTCACCAGGATCCTCCATCCATAGTAGCGGGCTGCAGGACACCTGCCTTCTTGCTTATAGCATGTGTCCTGTGGATTACAGACTATAGGAAGACTCACCTACCGTTGGTCTAAGTAACGTGGGGAAAGTCGACTCCACTGTCATCTTGTCCATGGTCTGGAGTACCTTGTAGCAATTGAGGTGAAGGGCAGGGTTGCTCAGTGACTAGGGTTGTCACTGACTCAAGATGAAGTTTCTTCAGTGCCCATCAGTCTTCTAGGAGGAAATGGGGTGGAGCCAGAAGCTGGGCTATCTCTCTGTTATAAAAAGCTTTTTAACAAAACATTTTAAATGCCATATTCTCTAGATCTCTGAGCATTTGAGGGCTGTCTGTTTAGTATCTCAGCAGTTAAAAGTTTGCCTTTAGTTAGAGAAAAATCCCTTTTTGTAATAAAAGCTGTACCTTTGTAAATGGCTTACAGGATAGCCTGTAAATATTTTGTTAGTTTGAAATAGACCTTTATGATTTTAGCTTATATTTTAAGTATAGTTAAATTAGACCTTTATGACTTTAAATGTTTACCATCATTTAAAGATACATGGCAATTTAGAAATAAGAGACTTAGCACAGTTTCATTTAAGTTGCATATAGAGCTAGATAAGTATAAAGTTAAATTACAGGTACAGAGACAAGCAGGACTGGATAACAGTAAAGGGGAACTAAAATGCAATCTCTGATCTGTACATTGCAGTAAATAGACAGGAGATTTAAAGGGACAGAGTAGACTTAAACAGAGTGCCATGGAAAGACACAGTATTCTGTAAGGAAGCCATGAACAACAGAGCCAGTGAAAGAAGAAATCACAGACAAAAAATAAAATAAAATAAAAAGCAAAAAGATCTGGCAGAAATCAAAAATCCGGCAGACAGGTTTGCTGGCACAGGCCGCTGGAGTGGGTGTGCTTACAGGTAGGTCACATGACCAAGATGGCTGCAACCATAAGTCGCTTTTGTCTGTTTACCGGCTTGTTGGATGAAACCAGAAAGTTTTCTCTATGCATTTCCCATGGGTGAGGCAAGTGGAAAACCGGCAAAAAGTTCCACTCCGGATGCACGTCTGCCCGTGGGAGTTGCCAGGGGCCTGGCCCCGAAGGGGACACAGGTGTCCCGAAACTGAAAAAAGGACCCAGCAGTCCGAACTGAAAAAGCAAAAAAGCACTGCTCCTGGAGTGGGATCTCAAGTCAGGCCCTCAGGAAATGCACCCAACAAGTGAAAGAAGAAATAAAAAGCAAAATGTCTGGTGGCCATGGTTGCCTGTGCAAGTCACTGAACTGAGTGAGCAGGCCTAAGCTAGGTCATGTGGGTTAGGATGGCACATGACCAATATGGTGGCCCCCAGGTTAGCCCACATGGCCGAGATGGGACCCCCGTAAGCACATTCTCAATTGCCGGAAGAAGTTTTTCTCCATGAGTGAGGCAGTAAGAAACAAACAAACAAAACTCTCAGAGCATCTCAAGCAGACACTGCCAAGAAGAAACACGGTCAGAGATAGACAAAAAGATGAGGGACATTCCCAGGTGAAAGAAATTTCCCACTGGGAGGCAGAACTCCGCTCATTTACAATCTACTCGCTGGCAGTAACCGAAAGATCCCGTAAAATGTATTTCCTGTGGGCAAGGCCAAAAATGGCACAGTCCGAAACCGAAAAAATGTACCCAGAGTGAACTCCCATGGGGCAGTGCTGGGTCTGCCCCAAGGGAAAAGTTATGGGTATCTTACCGGATTGCAGCGAACAGGCAGATGAGTGAGGTCCAGAGATCCTTAGTTGGAAAAGCGGCGAGTTGAAGTGTACAGAGTTCCAGCATCTCAGGCTGCTGCAGGCAGGAGGAAGTGCCAGGAAAAGCCAAGATGGAAGTGGGGTATGAGTTCAGATTTTAGGGTCCCCGAAATTTCCTGTGCCCATGGCAGGAGAAGTTATAGAGAAAGCCTATCCCACCAGCAAGCTTTGGGAGAGCTTACGGAGAGAGCCTAAACCAAGTCAGGCGCCAGTGTTATGTTTTTATTTAAAAAAAGGAAAAGAGAAAGCTTTAAGATGAGACATGTTGACTAGTTTATTATATTGGCCCGGCAGAGTAGGGAGACTGAGAGAGAAGAGGAACAGGGGTAATGGCTGACCGCCATGGCCGTTCCCCATAGAGGGTCAAGAAGAAACAGAGAGGGAATGTAGAGAGTAGAGAAGAGTAGAGAGGAAGAGAGAGCATAAGTGGGCAGGGGTATGTCTTTTAAAGGGGTCCTCTGCACCTGCGTGCAGACTCAGTTCCCATGGAACCTTGGGCTGACCAGGGTACTGCCTGTTCCACAGGTAACAGGGGCAGGCCAGCATAATGCCTGAACCTTTCAAGGGCTAGGTGAAGGTTGCCTGGTTTGATTTTTTTTTTTCTTGGAGCCAGGGTTTCCCTCTGTAACAGTCCTGGCTGTCCTGGAACTAGGTCTGTAGACCAGACTGGCCTTGAACTCACAGAGTTCTGCCTGCATCTGCCTCCCAAGTGCTGGGACTAAAGGTGTGCACCACCACCACCTGGCTTGCTTGGTTTGATCTTTGCAGATACTGAACCACAGAATAATTAGGAAAAAACAAAGGACCAAAATATGTCATGAAACTACAACACATTATATGTGCTTGGAAACCCTTATATGCATCCCATAGTTAGTGGTGTGGATAGAATTAGCAAACCAGAGGCACATGCTGATTACAATGTAAAGTACATGTTTCACTCTGAAGGAAACCAGAACTTCCTGGCAAGTGAGTAAACTACCCAAGACTCAAAAAGTGGGGTTGGTGCTATCTTTTGTTGAGCACGTTGGTTCCCAGCTGTCGTGTTTGGGCCGTCAACAAGAACACTGGCTTTTTCTCTACATTTTTGTTTAGTCTTCTGTACTTTAGAGTTTTCTAACCACAGAAGATTTTCCCCTTAAGCCATTTAGTATTTGTTCTGAATCTTTGGTGTTTATTTTGAAGCTTCTGTAGCAGAAGAGAGACACTGGCCTGCCTGCTAATACTGAAACATCTCCACAGGGCTGCACTGCTGTTCTCTCAGAGCAGGCACAGGCATTCTCAATGTGCTTTCATTCTGCCTGATAATAATTGCCTGTGCTGTTATGTGCATATGTATGTATTTATTTCAGGAATATAATTAACCTTCAACAAAATCATATTTGGGCATGTATATTTGTATCTGTGTGTACACATTTACACGTTTTGTGATCTTATTGAAAAGTCACATTTTTTAAAAATCCCCTTCATTAAATTTGAGAATTCTTGAAGGAAAGACAATCAACTTCTAATTCTCCAACTTATCCCTGTGTGTAGTTTGGTGCCTGCCTGGGAATAGGGAGTAGAACTTGCTTTCCAAATGAGTGATTAATTAGGCTTTGTGGTCCCCATTGGCAAGGAGCTTTGAACAGGTTTTTATAGAGTGGTGAGCCTTCTGATTGTCCCTTCCCCGTGTGCTTCTTGAATAAAGATAACTGCACTTTCAGGGAACAACCTTCTCTCAGCCATTTTCTAAACTGCTCCTTACCGTGCAGCACATTGTTATCCAGCATGGATGAACAGTTTTCTTCGAGTACCACATACTGCAAATAATTGGTGTGAGCATGTGGTAGATGAAGAAGCAGGAGCCAGCTCATCTCAAGTAGAATTTCCAGTCAAAGGAGAAAAATACAAAGAAGTGAAACCAACATGTGCTAGTTTCTTGTATGGGGGCAGATTAAGAGTTTAAATGAAAAAAAAATACTGATAATTTCTGAATTGTTAAGGACCTATTTTAATTTTATGTGTTTGAGCCTTTGCCTTCATATCATCTGTGGGCCTGGTATCTGTGGAGGCCAAAAGAAGGTACCAGGTTCCTGAAACTGGAGCTCCAAGCAGTTGTGAGTTGCCATGTAGGTGCTGAGAACTGAGCCCCTGAGCCATCCATGCAGCACCAATTCTACTAAGTATTTATGTATCATGCAAATAGAGCTTGTACATTTAATTTCTCTTATTATACTAAGTAGATATTACCATCTCCACTTGACATATGACAAAGGTAAAACTGAGAGTTAAGCAATCTTGTTCAGAATCCTGAACTCTTATTCAGAATCACTTTATATTGACTGTAGTTTGGGATTCTGCCACTTATATGGCACAGAAATCCCCAGAGCTAAAGCTTTATAATCATTTGGACCATGCTTACTGGTAAAAATTTTCATCAGTTATATCGAATACAGAGAGGTTTGTGATACCTCTGTGGAATACAAGTACATAGTCTAGAAAACCTTCTTTTTCCAAGTTAGAAATGATTTGAACTCCTTCTGTTACTTAACAGCATAAAAACATCTCATCTTGGGCCTCTTTAGTAAAGAAGTGTAAATGTCATTGAAGTCTCTACCTTTTAATAAATTTAAGTGCCTTCCAAAACTTGTTTCACAGTCAGTTAAGTTCACAAATACTACAACACTTGAGGATTGATATATGTAATAGCCAAACTGTTAACTTGTTTAGATTGAAAATGTACTAGGGGATTCATAAAGTGCATCTCTAGGTCTCCTAGGAGGGTATTTCCAGAGAGGATTAACTGAGGGAGAAGACCTGGCCTGATTGTGAGTCTTGCCATCCACAACTGGGATCTGTACCTTCAACACAGGCCTAGATGAAGAGGCCGACATCAACACAGGCCTAGATGAAGAGGGCACCTTCAGCAAGTCATTTTCTCCTGTTTCTGTCCCCATCCAGTGACTTGTTCTGTCCCACCAGACATTCATCATGATGGACCGAAACCTCAGAAGTTAGGAGCCCAAATAAGTCATTTTTCTCATAATTGTTCATATCAGGTATTTTGTCACAACAAGGAAAAACTGACATAGAGTATGTCTCGAGTTTGACCTTCAGAGTCTGCCGTGTAAAGCCATGGTCTGTCTTCATATTTCAGATGGAGCTGGCTGTGGGTCCACTTTGCAGAAGAGTGTCTGATTTGGGAAAGTCCTATCGAATGCTGAGGTCATTCAGGTAAGACCTAATTCCCTGTTACTATATACCATCTTACTAGCAAGTGTTCCTTTCCTCCTCTTCAAGTTAAGCTCTATAAAATTGTCAATTCATTTTTTATTATAACAATGCCAATATGAGATGAATCATCCTAAAAGCTATTGTTGAGAGAACCATCAAGAATTATGTGCAATAACTAATCACATGGAGTGGGGGTGGTTCTTTCTGAATTATAACTCACAGGTTATGTTGATGGGTAAACTTCCCATTCCTGCAGAAACTCCAGGAAATTCATTATAATACAGGCATTTTTTTCTGAAAATTTTATTTGTTCATATACATTTTAAATCCAATTTACTTCTAAAAGTATCATAGCATATAATAAAAACAAACACAACTATTGACTAAAATTGAGGTCAATGGTGAACTTAGGCAATGGATTAGAGAGCTCAGACTGATGGAGTTGAGCACCACATTTAGGGTTGAGCTTCCTATAAACCAGTTCAAAAAGAGCAACAATGAGTTAACTAGGAGGCAGAGGCAGGTGGATCTCTGTGAATTCAAGGCCAGCCTGGTCTACAGAGCAAGTTCCTGGACAATCACAGGTACACAGAGAAACCCTGTCTTGAAGCCCCCCCCCCAAAAAAAAAAAGATTAACAGTGGGCTAATTCATATTCATGGTGTAATAATCTAGCAGTTTAATGGAAGAAGCCATCCTTTCCATGACTGGATGGACTCTTAGTTCTGAAAACATCTAGTAGTTTAATGACTCTAGTAGTGGATGCTAGAAGATAGCGTGGTATTGTGCATATGGCTGTTTATTCAGTAAACTAGAATTTCCAAATTTTTCATGTAATAGCACAAAGAAAATAGTCTTACTAAAAATGTGGCTAGCCCTTTAAACTAGAAAGATCTACATCATAAACATTTATAACAATTTGGTGAATATAGCATGCTACATGGAAGGCTTTGGCACAGACTAATCAAGTATAATCCCCTGCTCTCTTTGTCATCACACTATTGTAACAACCATGTAGGGAGGGAGCCAGTACTGCTGACAGAGACCATGGGCTTTTCCTTGCCCATTGTAGGCAACAGAGCTTCTTTCTTGTTTTCATTGCCAACAGCATGGCCTGAATTTTGCTTTTTCTGCAGTGGATAGTCCATGATTACAAGAAAACTTAAGTGAGATTTTGCATAAGTGGTATTTTTCAAATACCTTCTTTGGGTCTGGTTAGTTCTTTGAAATAAATAAATAAAACTATAAGTATTGTGTTAAATTCTAGTTCTGCTAGAAACTAGTTGAAAGATTATAAGATTTCAGGGTTACCAGTCTATAATTTATCTGCTTGAACTTTAAAAATGTACTTTAAGTCATGCACTTTGAGCAAGATGGTGTATAGTTTATTAGTTACTTTCCTCTTGCTGTGTGATACAGCACTATGACCAGAGCAGTTTGCAACAGGAAGAGTGTATGTTGATTTATGACCCCAGAGGGAAACAAAGTCCATCCTAATAGAGAGCGTGGACATAAGCTGCAGATATGGTGGCAGGAGACAGAGCCTTAGAGCCCACATCTTCCAGCTCAAGCAGAAAGCTGCACCTGAGCCTATTACTGCCTCCACCTCTCTGCTGAGACCTTCAGGTCTGCCACTGCCACCTCAGCCACCTCCACATAGGATGATGGGGGAAGTGCTTCTGTGTATGTGTTTGTCTTATTGAATGATAAATAAAGTACTGTTCGGCCAATGAGGCAGCAAGTTAGGTGGGACTAGGAGTCAAGGAGGATTCTGGGAAATGTAGTAAAGAAGTAGTGATCCAGGCAGGAAGTGTCATAGCAGGGAGGCTCATATAAGCAAAGGCAAGAAAGAAGTAGTTTCCTTTTACTCTTCCTCCTGCTCTATGCTCTAGAGTCGCCATGTGATCCGCCAGCAAGAGAGGGCGCCAGCGGAAGGCGTCCTCTATAAGATAAGTCTTATAAAATATATAGATTTGTGATAACTAATACTGAGCTAGCAGATGAGAAATCCTAGGCATTGGCCAAACAGCATTTGTACCTAATGTAAGTCTCTGTGTGTTACTTGGGACCTTAACGTGGCGGCGGGCAGAACTTGGGCGGCCTGACAAAAAGCACCCACGTGGCAGCAGGCTCAGGTGGCTTGGAGTAAAGACTTATTGCTACAATAGGGAGGCACATGTTTTAACTAAATCTCTGTCTTTTTATTTTACCAATAAAGACTTGGGAGCCAGATGCTCAGAGAGGCAGAGAAAGCAGCCAGCTGACCTTCCTCCTCTGCCATAGTCTCAGAAAGAGACTTTTCTCCTACCCATTCTGAAACAAAAAGTCCTCCAACTGGATGTTCCTCCCTTCTACTTCTTGTGCCTCCTCCCAGCCTCCTGACTTCCTCTCGCTCTCTGTGGTCAACTGGTTGCTTATTTTGACTCTTGACTGATGGTTGGTTTTATTTAAATGATGCAATCTTGAGGTTCACAGTGTGATCAAATATCCTGACAGAAAGCGGAGAGAGCACACTGGGAACGGTGTGAGGCTTTAAACTTGGAGGCTGTTCCAGCAAGGCCACACCGCCTAACCTTTCCAAACAGTACCAACTTGGGACCTCATGTTCAAGTATCTTATGTGGGAGGGCATTCTCATTTAAACCATTACAAATAGCAATCGGTACTATGTAATAAAGTGATATCATAGCTTGGTCAATAAATGTTCTGAGGGCTTTAGTCAAGTAGCTTTTGACAAAGGTCTAAGAAAGGTACCGATCTGGCATTTATTTGTCATAATAGAACCAGGCTCTTATTTTTCGATAATCCCCAATTCCATATTTAGGTTTTATTGTGTGTATATTAAAATAGCACTAATCTTAATAGTTTTGAGATAGGATGGCTTTTAGCTCAGTACTTGTAAGTTTATGTGACAGAAAAATAAAATCTGAGGATAAGTTTCACATAAAACTAATTAACCATTTAAGATCCCACTAACTCTCCCAATTAAAGTTTTCACATGAAAAAAAAGAACCCCAAAGGAACAATTTCAGGGTTGGGTAACATCATTTTATACCTAGTCAGAGATTCAAAGTGTGTGTTAATAAATGCATGTACTTTAAAAATCATAATTTTTTTATATCTAGCTCTTGATAGAGTAATAGTCAATCCAGATGAATTTCAGACTTTTGGCTATGACACATGGTAAGAGGATTTTTGGTTTTCTTAAATTTTTTTGTGTGCTTGTTTTTTTCTGGCAGGGTCCGACTATTTAACCCAGGCTGACCCTCCTCCCTCAGCCTCCTGTATTCTGGGATTCAAGTATACACCACTAGGCTTGCCTGAAGATTTTGGGGGTTTTTTGTTTTGTTTTTAGTTTTTGTTGTTGTTTGGGTATTTTGTTTTTTTTTTGTTGGTTGGTTGAATTTTTATTTTTATTTTATTTCATTTTATTTATTTATATGTTGAGATAGGGTTTCTCTGTGTAGCCCTGGCTATCCTGGAATTCACTCTGCAGACAAGGTTGGCCTCAAACTCACAGATCTATTTTAGTCCAGAGTGCTTGGATTAAAAGTATGGGCCACCACCACCAGGCCCTAGGACCTGTGATTATTAACCTGCATCATTTCCATCATTGTTGAATCCTCTGACAAGAGCCTGGGCATCAGTTAGTAACTGTGTGCATACTGGATCTTGGCTGTCACTCAAAAGTTAACTGTCCCTCCATGTCCAAGTAAATAACGGACAGTATTGGATTGCCTCCTAAAAATTGATAAAATAAAAACAAAATATTCCCTAATGCACCACTAAATTAAAAGCAAACAAAAAAATAAAAAATAGGCTACTAAGAAGGAAATTGATGTGATCTCTGCTGTACTGTAAACACTGGTGTGTGTCTGATTTCTGCTGTAAACACTGGTGTGTGTCTGTGATCTCTGCTATAAACACTGGTGTGTGTCCGTGATCTTTGCTTCTTATGCCCAGATCATGGAACCCCAAAAATCCACCATTGAGGAAGTGACACACCGAATGTAAAAACAAAGGTTTCTTTATTACAAGTTGCAACTCAGATCCTGCCTGTTCAGAAAGAAGCAGAGTGCCACTTTTTGGCTAAGGGGATTCCTAAAGGGGAAAGTTCAAAAGACTGGATGTCTTGAGATTACAAAGTTTTTATGGTTACATAGAATAAAACAATAACTGTATGTTTAGGCAGGATGCAATTAAGCAGAAAGCTGTAGAGGAAGTAGGTTTGTTAATTATCTCCTACGCAGTGACTTTTACAACTATGAATTGACAACCATCTGATCTTCTTTAGGACAGAGAAATGTTGACACAGCTGGGGCCTGTTATCTGTTCTCAGGCCTCTGTACCCAGCACTTTGTTTAGCCTTGTCTGTCAGGCTGCCTTTTTGGGAACTCAGAGACGCTTAAGAGTTTTTTTTATTTAGGCTTTGGAGTCCAAGTTTAGACTTTTATTAATTTTTCTCACTTTACTCCTTTCATGGTATACTGTAAACGCTGGTGTGTGTCTGTGATCTCTGCTGTACTGTAAACACTGGTGTGTGTCTGTGATCTTTGCTGTAAACACTGCTGTGTGTCTGTGATCTCTGCTGTACTGTAAACACTGGTGTGTGTCTGTGACCTCTGCTGTACTGTAAACACTGATGTGTATCTGTGATCTCTGCTGTAAACACTGCTGTGTGTCTGTGATCTCTGCTGTACTGTAAACACTGGTGTGTGTCTGTGATCTTTGCTGTAAACACTGCTGTGTGTCTGTGATCTCTGCTGTACTGTAAACACTGGTGTGTGTCTGTGATCTTTGCTGTAAACACTGCTGTGTGTCTGTGACCTCTGCTGTAAACACTGGTGTGTGTGTGTGTGTGTAACCTCTGCTGTAAACATTACTGTGTGTGTGATCTCTGCTGTAAACATTAGTGTGTGTGTGTGACCTCTGCTGTACTGTAAATACTGGTGTGTGTGTCTGTGATCTCTGCTGTACTGTAAACACTGCTCTGTGTGTGTGT